TGGGAAGAAAGCCACGATGTCTTAAGAGGAAAGGAAAGATTACCCATTTTTATTCAAATGTTGTGTGGACACATGTGTATGGCATTAAACATTACACTAAAATAAAATTCACTTCCTCAGCCACATTAGCCACGTTGGAAGTGCTCACTGGCCACATGGCTAGCAGCTACCACCTTGGACAGCACAGATCTAGAACATTTCCGTCCTCTCAGCAAGTTCTGGGCAGAAAGCTTCTCGACACTAAGCGTCCATAGTGAGGCCTTTTTCACTTTGTATGTTATAGATTTATGTGCACGTTTACCTTTTTTTATGATAAACAAGTAGGTGTGCTATTATCAGAAAAATAGGAACACGGGGTTTCTAAGCTAACGTCCTCTTTCTTAAGCAGGTGGAAGTTTATCATTGTTTACGATATATTTGTGTGTGTATAAACGCCTTTCTACATACGTTGCATAATGAAAATATTTTAACATATATAGGGGAAGAATTTCCTGGCAGTGCAGGCTTGAAGTTGGAAGACTCGGGGCCAGATCTAGGTTCCCTGCCCTAACTGCCTCCCAGCCATGGCCAAATCACATAGCCTCAGTTTCCTGACCTGACAGGATCCCTACTCGACCTACCTTGCAGGGTTAGGGTAAGATTTACGAGTGTGGTGATGTGTGGAAACACTCTGAAACTGAGGGACGGCCACACAGAGGTGAAGGGTTAGGAAATAAGTGTGTTGCCCGAGGCGTGAGGGGGCAAGGCCTCAGCAATCTGTGACCGCCATGGCGGCTTGGAGACCTTGCATCCTTCTGAGCGGAGTGTTTTCCAGATGTCAGTAAAGTTGCCAGAGACAGGGGGAAGTGTTCCTTTGTTTCCACTGCTGTCATTACTTGGAGATTTAGGAATGACAATATCTTACTTATTTAACAAGCAATTATCTAGCTGTTTGCTATTTGCCATGGCCTCTCCTCTCTGAGTGCTTTACAAATATGTACTCATTTTATCCCCCTACAAGGATGAGGTAGTCACCCTTAGCATGCTCATTTCACGCAGAAGGATGTCAAGGCTCAGAGAGGTCAAGTAACTTACACAAGGTCACACAGCTGGTGAGGAATGGGGTGTCTAACTAAGGCAGCCCACACTTTCTCCTTTCTTCCCTTCTCATGGCTCCTCTTGCCCCTGTCAGATGTGGTTGTAGAGTTCCTTATGTCCGTTTATCTGTCTCAGGGGCATGAGATTTAAACTTGGATATGAAATCTCAGGAGTGTGTGTTCTTGACTGACTTGGTAGCTTCTGGTTCCTGGCTGAGTTTGGTAGCATGACGAAGTGGGGATAGGCTATAGAGTTAGGTCAGTCTGGACACCGGTCAGTAATCTGCCACCTGGCTTTGTGACTTCCAGCAGATTACTTTGGTCTTCAAGTGGGGTTTTGTGAGGGTCGTAAGTTCACCTGCTGTGACAGGCAGGGCGTGGGCGCCTCATGAGTTCCCATCCTTCCTTCATCTGTGTCTTGGGCAGTGAGTTTAGGCTTGAGGATATGGAGACAGACGAGGAAGTGCCGGTGCCTCTCTTTAAGGAGGTTATAGAATGGCCTAGGTGGGGCCTGAGGAACTTTCTAGATCGGGAGTCGGGGAACCTGAGTTCTAGCCAGTGCTGGCTCTCCCACCTCAGAGACACTGGACAAGCTGCTCTGCTCCTCTGGGTTTCACTTTGGTCATCTGTACACAGGGGCCGCATCGGTCTTGTCGTTTTCTCATTTGTCGTGGTTAGGTCAGGACCAGCCTGTGCCTGAGGGGCCGGTGCGGTGCAAGCGGGTGGGTATGGGGGGGCACCCGCTTTTCCCTTCAGGCTGCTCCTGTCCACGCTGCCAGCGCCCCCTCTCCGCAGTGCTCTGGGGAGGCCTCCTGACTCCCTCCGGAAGCAGGAATGATGGAAACAAAGGCCGTTTCCGACGGTCTGCAGCCGGTCGGGGTCTGAGGGTGGCAGGTCTTGCAGGTGAGAATGGATTTGGAGGCAGCTGCTTGTTGTGTGTCACCGTGCAGCCAGTGACAAGGTTGCGGGGGCTGTGCTCATCGTTCTTTGGGCTGAAAATTACCCTTGTTTAAAAGGGGCCACGGGTGGATGGGGCTGCCCACCTATGTGCCTTGCTGGGCACACGCACGGCCTGGAGTGCGAGGCCTGGGGGCTGCTGACTGAGCAGTGGAGGGAGACAGGAGCCAGCCCCGTGGTCCTCCGTGCCGCACAGCCTCCTGGAGAAGTGGCGGTTTCGGCAGGAAGCCGGGAAGTGAACACCTGGACGACCCATTCAGCTCACCTTTCTGCTTCCCTCTTCAAGTGCCCCTGAGTGGGAGGCAGCTCCATAACCTCAAGTCTCAGGTCCTCGTAAAAGGAGTTAATATCCTGTAATTGCACAGACGTATTGCCCTTAGCAGGCCCATTTAAAGAAGGGCAGCGAAATGGATCCTCTTTTAATAGTGTGACCTTTACCGGGCAAGTGAAATCCCAAAGCCAGCCTGTGGAAGGATTCTGAAGGGGCTCCGTGGTTTTATTTCTTCGTTGCCTCGGCAGATGATTTGCAAAGATCTTGCCAAATTCCAGGGGCACTTGTGTAGTCATTGGGACTTGGAAGCGGAGCAGGCCTATTTTGATTTCTGTGGTACGTATTGATAAATTTTGGTCACCGTGGGTTCATCCTGAGAAGCAGGTGGAGGTGCAGAAGACTACAGGGAAATGGTACACAAGTCGGCTTTTCTTTAAAAATGTAAGACATAGGGCGCCTGGGTGGCTAAGTTGGTTAAGCGACTGCCTTCGGCTCAGGTCATGATCCCGGAGTCCCGGGATCGAGTCCCGCATCGGGCTCCCTGCTCGGCGGGGAGCCTGCTTCTCCCTCTGACCCTCTTCCCTCTCGTGCTCTCTCTCTCTCATTCTCTCTCTCTCAAATAAATAAATAAAATCTTAAAAAAAAAATAAAAATGTAAGACATAGTACCAGTCATTTCTTTTTTGCAAGTTCATTGTCAGTGTGCCTGCAGTCTGCAGACAATGTCTGGCACGTCTCAAGCCCTCTCGATGGATTGCCTGGATGCCCGTCACCAAGCCCCACTCCTTTGCCCATAGGAGCCGTGTCGGGTCCCTCTCCTGCTCCCCCTGCTTGTGCTCTTGCTCTCTCTCTCTCTCTCTCCCTCAAATAAATAAATAGATCTTAAGAAAATAAAAGAGAGAGTCCAAGACTGAAATGACAGGAGCAGAGGTGCTGCGGAAAGCGAGCTTCGGGTGTGCCGTTCTGCTGGGCACATCACATGATCTTGTGTCTCCTCTCTTCAGTCCTGTGCGGTTGGCACTGCTAATAACTTTGGACTCTTGGACTCCATGTGCCCCAGATCATGCAGCTGGGGAGGGACCTGGTTAAGCCTCGAACCCGGGTTCACTCCAGAACCATTGTCATTAACTGCAAAGCCATAAAGTCCTGGGAGCTGCTCAGGGGACAGTATCCTTGAACCCAGCCCTGCAGGGTAAGTTAGATTTAGATAAGCAGAGAGGAAAAGGAAGGGAATTCTGGGCAAGGGAAGCAGTAAAAATAGTCAGAAGCTAGGGAGAGGGACGAAGCATGGCGTGGAACCACACCTACCGGTTGTAAGCTCCACAGGGCAGTGACCATGTTGTCCAGAGCCTCCACTGTATCCCCAGTACCTGGGTGACTGATGGGTGCATGGTGTGCAGTCAATAAATATTTCTTGAAAATAGAACCACCCTATGATCCAGCAATTGCACTACTGGATATTTACTCCAAAAATACAAAAACGCTAATTCAGAGGGGTATACATGCACCCCTATGTTTATAGCAGCATTATCTACAAGAGCCAAATTATGGAAGCAGCCCAAGTGTCCCATTGACTGATGAATGGATAAAGAAGATGTGGTATCTAAAGACAAGGGAATATTACTCAGCCATCAAAAAGAATGAAATCTTGCCATTTGCAACGACATGGATGGAGCTAGAGTGTATTATGCTAAGTGAAATAAGTCAATCAGAGAAAGACAAATAACATGATTTCACTCATATGTGGAATTTAAGAAACAAAACAAATGAGCAAAGGAAAAATAAAAGAGAGGGAGGCAAACCAAGAAGCAGACTCTTAAGTATAGAGAACAAACTGATGGTGACCAGAGGGGAGGTGGGGGGGTGGGGGAAACAGATGATGGGGATTAGGTAGTGCACTTGTCATGAAGAGCCCTGGATGATGTGTGGAAATGTTGAATCACTATATTGTACACCTGAAACTAACACTGTATGCTAACTATACTGGAATTAAAAATTTATATAAAAAAACAAAAAATAAAATCAGGAAAAAAATATTTATTGTATGTATGAATACACAGAAAGTTGTCTTCTCAGTAGACCTTTGGCCTTTTGAGGGCAGGGATTATGTTTTAGAAATCTTTGGATGCTCCACAGCTCCCAGTGGTTAACAAATAATGAACACTCAGCAAATATGTTCTGATGGAAGGAATGAATGAACAGCAGGTAAGGGATGGGGAGATGTGCCTGAGTGAAGAGGCATTGATGCTTTGGGAAATAGTGAGCAATACACATGGGCTGGCATGGTAACGGCAGATCATGGAAGGTCTTTAGTGCCAGGAGAAGGAGCTCCTATGTTCTTTTTGAGGCATTTTGTAAAAAGCCATATCTTAATGCACAACGATGCAGGGTGTACAGAAACCCAGCCAGTGCCCAAATTTTGACTGGTATTTATAGGAACCACAGTGAAGCGGAGCTGAGAAATCACCTTTCTATAGGATTGCCTTAACCTATGCCTGTTGTCGCTGCCTTTCCACCTTGGGGTAAGCACAGCATTACAGTCAAAAGTGGGAATGGGAGCCGGTAGGGTATGGATGTTATTGCAGGGTCCTGGAGTCTTTTTTAAAATAGTGTGGCTGGAAGATCCCAGCCAACCTCCTCCAAGAAATGATCTGCTCAACCCAGGAGTTTTCAATAAACACTGCCCTCTCTTTTCAGATGTTGGCTAAATTTGTGGTTTTAAGAAAGCCTGAGGGCCAGAGGGCAGCCCTGGGAGAAGCCCTTCCCGGGGGCACTTGGAACCTTCTGGTCCAGAGGAGAAGGCATCCCCTCACCTGGACTTATGACCCGAGGCTTTGCTCCCATTCTACCCACTGAGTTCCACAAGATGGGCTCCTTCCGCAGGCCCAGGCCGCGCTTCATGAGCTCCCCGGTGCTCAGCGATCTGCCCCGATTCCAAGCAGCCCGGCAGGCCCTGCAGCTGAGCTCCAACTCGGCCTGGAACAGGTAACGGTGGGGGTTGGGGGGATGGGGGCGGGGGGAGCAATAGTCATGGAGTGGAGGGCTGCCAAGGGCCAGCCGGAGCAGGGCCTGGGGACGGGCTTAGCTTCTGCTCCTTCGGAGAGCTCTGTTCCAGAAGGTCGTGATTATACATCTAGGCAGTTGATGAAGACAGCATGTTTTCCTGTGGACAATGTATTTGCTGGCTTCCCTTGTTTGAGGAGAGAGGAGGGGCGTCCCTGGGGGCCTCTGGGCTACCGGACTGAGTTAACCGGCCCAGGACAGTTGGATTGGAATTTACAGTTACTATTCATGTTCCTTAGTCACACCCCAGTCTATTTGAGGACCCAGGGGTGGGGCTGTGTAAGTAACCTCAAGTCACCTATTACTTGTCTGGAAGATAAGACACATAACTGTGGAAAGCCAAATGAGTGGTATAAACTGGGGACTCTCGGTACCTGTGAGCCACAGGAGGATGGGAAAGGAGACACCGCACTTTTATGTGGTGTCTGGCCAACGTTTTGTAGGCCAAGCATTGAGTAGAGACTGAATCAACACTATGTTTTGCATCCTTGTGGGCTGCTCTTTCTCATATCTAGCAGTTACTCTTTGGATGAATTAGATGCATCATTATTTTAAAGCATTACTGGATTCTTTGTACTTTGAATCATCTTGGATTGTCTCATTTTTGCACAGCTCTTATGATGGGGGTGAAGAGGGGCTCTGACAGGTTTTGCTGTGAATGGATCTGTGTTCTTTTAAAAAAAAAAGACCTGGGATCCTTGATAAAGGCAAGATTATAATCTGCTCCTTGCTGAAATACTGGGCTGGTGCCCCAGAGCACGTGGTGTCAAGACTTAACTGTGGCCCCTCCAGGGACTAACCCCCTACCTGCCTCTGCACCTCACAGGAGGGCAACGGAAGGGGCAAGAGAGGCTAGCCTCAATGAAACTCTTCCAAGGTAACCCTACCAAATGGGCAAGGAATTAGCATTTCATATCAGCCCCAGGCATGCAGGCTGTCCTGTGAGGACAGGGACCTCCTAAGTGAAGGAACCCCAGGCACTGTTGGCATCTGCTTGCTGCAGGCGCCATTTTGGATCTCTCCAGGCCCAGTGTCCTGAGAGCAGATCCCACCACCTGCCCTTCATGAATGCTGTTTGCCATCAGGGCTGCCAGCGAGGCCAGTGAGGAATACCAGCTTGCCTTTGAGAAAGTTGGGGGAGAGGGGCTGCTTTGGGATCTTCTTGGCCTCAGTCTTCCTTTCTCTCCGAGGACCCTGGGAAGGACATGATGGATTTCCTGGGATGGAGAATGGGCCATGTTTGTGCCATGGGCTCTCTGGCCCTTGCATCTGCTTTTAGCCCTGAGCTGCTTATTGAGGTTTCCCTTGGCAGGCAGATCCTCTAACGAGGGCCGGTTTCTGTTTCCCCTGTAGTGTCCAGACTGCCGTGATCAATGTCTTCAAAGGGGGCGGCTTGCAAAGCAATGAGCTCTATGCACTGAATGAAAACATCAGGTATGTAGATGGCTCGGTTAGGGGCCATTTCCCCCGGTGGGTCTGAGCTGGGGCAGTGGGGGCCACCCCACTGGAAGCCTTAGCTTAAAGTTTTTGTCTGCTTGGTTCTTGTTGTTTCTGTTGACTTTTACTGGCTTGTATGGCTACTAAGTTCTGAGACCTTATCTGTCTAGACTTCTGATCCACAAAGGGTTCATACATTTATTCCTGTGTATAGTGTCTGTAGGGGGGCCTCTGCAGGGGGCGGGTTGACATACGGCAGATGTCACATACTCTGTAAATATGGATTGTGTCCTGCTTAACCATTAGGTGCCACATTGGGCAAGATGGCCTCGTGGTTGGAACCAGACTGCTTGGGATTCTGCTGCCCTTGTTGCTTTTACCGACTTAAGTGACTTACCAACTTCTTTGTGCCTCAGTTTCCTCTTACATGAAACACGGATGGGAAATATGCCTACTTCCATAGGATTCTTGTGAAGATTTAAGTTGGGTTATTGTATAAATGACCTGTTAGGACAGGGTCAGAGCTCACTTGGTACTGGGGGCTCTTATGGCTGTGTGTGTTGTCGCTGTCATGATGGTTAAGTTTTGGTGATACAACCCTCAATAGGATGTGGTCCTTGAGGGGTTTCTTGTCTTCCAGAATCTTCCCAGTTGTGTCAGCTTTTCATAAATTCATTCACTCCTTCAACAAATATTTGAGTGCCTCCTTATTGGCCAGGCACTGGAGAGACAACACTGAGCAAAGACCGAGGTGGACTCCGCTGTCCTGGGGTTTATATTCAGTCAGGGAGATCCTCACTGGTCAACTAATCATACCTGTAAAATGTAGCAGCGTGGCTTCGACAGCTGCTGTGAGGAAAGCCCGTCCATACGACTTGATCTTGCCAAGGCCACTAGTGATGTCCTACTGGTGCTATCTTCTGGAGGACCAGTGGGAATTCACCAGGTGAAACTGCAGGTGCAGAGGTCCTGTGGTGGCATTGAAAAGACCCACGAGCAGAGAATACCAGAAGGTGGGGATGGGTGGTATGGTCAGATTTGTGTTTTGGACAGAGAGGCAGGCACAGCCCGGAGCGTCAGGATCTCCTGGGGACGGGAGGTTGTACATCAGGCCTTTTAATGCCCTGATGTCCTTTCCTGTCTGGTGTGTTAAGTGCAGAACGTCAAGGCTAAAGACCCAACCCTGGAGTGGGCAGAACAATTAAAAAGGCCCTTATTTGGGTCCTGTTTACCTTTAGTGAAGACCTGTGTTAAGGGTCAGTGAAGTGTTTTAAGAGCTCTGCTTTCATTAAAACCTTTAGGGCTCAGAAGTAAACTGAGGCGTGTTGAATTTCTACCCAGGAGCTTGAATTTCACATAGTAATTACACAAGTACGAGAAGAGACAATAGAGCTTGTCTAGCCCAAGGCCTCCTTTTACAGAGAAGGAAACTGAGGCCTCACGAAGTCGGGTGACAGGGGCAAAGCTGGGTCAGCCAACCCCTGGGTTGCAAGAACTCTATTTTACTCCAGGAACTAAGATCCTGGCCTCTTTGGGAGGGTTCTTTAGCTCACAGTGGAAGTATAAATAAATAAAACAGTGACTCAGGAACATGCTAATTGTTCCTCACTTTGGCAGACTGATGCTGAAATTGTACTTAAAATCTTTGTGGGCAGCTAGGAAAAGTACTGGGCCCGGCAGATTCCACCAGCCCTTTTATGCCTAGGGGGTAGCTAACTCAGAAGCCTTCAGGTTTCCAGCGCATCTTCTGAAGGCGGGAGGCTGGCCTGGGTGCAGGGAGGTGAGAGTTCACCCTCTGTTGAAAGGGGATTGCGGATCGCCCTGGCAGGACGTGGGGCTGGTGACATGTCAACTTCTTTCTCAACCGGAAATTAAGACTTTTATGTGAAGTTTCCTGGCTTTTAAATGTTGATAAATAATCCGAATTTCCCCCAAACATTAGTACAGGTCAAACAAAACACATCTGTGGGCTGAATGGGACCAGGAGGCCATCCATTGACAAGAGGAGCCCCAGCGCGCATGAAGGCATTGCTGATGGGGTGGGGGGGGCTGTCCTAGCACTAAGGCTGCATGAGTGGGGGGGGAAGGGACCTATTCTGGAAAAGCTCAGAGCACCTCTCACGTACATCAGCCCGCCCGACCCTCCTCACAACCCCGTGAGGCGACCACTGTTCTCGTGGTTTATCCATAAACTTGTGGATAAGAAACAATAGCTCTCGTCCAAGTTCACCCAGCTATAGAAAGGGTGGAGTTGGGATTTGAACCCCTGTCTCAGACACCTGTGTTAGTTTGCTCAGGCTGCCATAACCAATGCCACGGGCTGGGGGGCTTCCACCGTAAATATTTTACTTCTCACCGTTCTGGAAGGTGGGAAGTCTGAGGTCAAGGGGCCAGCACATTCGGTTCCTGGTGAGAGCCCGGTCCCTGGCTCCCCGCTCACTGTGTCCTTACAGGGCCTCCTCTTTGTGTTCAGCAGGCTCTCGGGTTTCTTCTAAGGTCACTAATCCCATCTCAAGGGCCCCACCCTCATGACCTCATCGAAACCTAATGACCTCCCAAAGGCTCCATCTCCAAATAACCAGCCCACGGGGAGGGGAGGGCTTCAACATAGGAGTTTGGCAGGGACACAGGTCAGTCCAGAGAAACACCTGTGTTCTTTGTACCATATTGTAGAATCAGAGGTTTCAGACTGGAAGAAAGGTTAAGCAGATGGTCTTGGCCTTCTGCTTTCCTTTCACGAAGCATCTTCCATTATGTGCTGCGATTCTTAACACCCCTCTGAGAAGCGTGACATCCCCCCCAACACTCCCTTCCAGTGTTGGGTCTAGGGGGTGGGGGGGGCGGCGGCTGGCTGTTCCTTCCTACATTTTGAGCAATTTTCAGGCTGGTGAGAGATACACGTGGGGTTTGACACTGATTGCCCAGATGTGGCTCGAGCCCAGGAGATGTCAAAGCTGTCAAAAACCAGAGTTGCAGCTACCGATGTTCTGGGCCTTCTCTCCTCTGGCCTTCTCCAGGAGAGTGGTTAGAATGGAGATGGGTTTTCACACCACAGACACTCAGAATCTGACTGAGAACGTGCCAGGCATGCCAGGCATAGGTGTGACCCGGTCCCAAGTGGAGTCAGGTGAGCCGGCCTGCACGCATGCCCACATCTGCAGGTGCCTGCATGGGAATGAACACAACTGTCCCTCATTTCAGCAATGAAAACGCCAGAACAGACCTGCCCCTCTCTGGTTCACCTTCGCAGAGACATTTGGGTTTTGATTTTCCTTTTTCTTTTCTGTTTTGGAAGCAGGTCCATAAACCCGACAGGGTTGAAGCGTGCCCGGTGTGGAGGGTATGTGTATGCGGGGTGGGGGCAGAGGGCAATAGAAATGTAGGGAAGAGAATGTGGAAGGAGAGAGGACCAGTGATTCTCAAGCCCACTTGACAGTCAGTTATGATAGGTCTCTGTGCCAGAAGATCTGTGCCGGGTCCAGTAGAATTTTTTAACTTGTTAGGGGAGTCGTGTCCAGAGTCAGAGAGACTGGGAATCAAGGCTAGACTAGCTGTGTGACCTTGGGCAAGTAAGTTACTTTGTTTTTCTCGGTCTCTGTTTTTCCTTCTATAAAATGGGGATGATAATAGCACCAACCTCACGGTGGTTGGGAGGACTAGATAATGCTAAACACACCATGAGTACAGGGTCCAATGCATAATAAATGTTAGCCATTATTACTCCTATCCTTGTGAAATGTTAGTGATAATAAAGTGATAAAGGATGGACCAGGTATGAGAGCACAGGGCAGTGTGGTGACTCGCCACACGGACTAGGTATTGTGTAAAGATTCTTCTAGCAGTTTGGATGCAGTGAGCTCACTTCGAAATGGAGAGGTCCAGGACGGGCTCCTCCAAGAATGTGCTGGACTTGAAGTTTGGGTGAGGCTGAGTTCTCACAAGGGGCCAGCTGTTTGTCCTTTCCACAAAGAAAAGAACGAGAGGAAATGACTCTCTCAGTTCTCCATTCGACTCAAGCCAAATGGTAATAAACTTTGATGGATTGTCCAAATCCAGAATCCAAGCCGGAATCAGTGTCCTCAGGTCACCGTGGCCAGCCCTGGCCTTCTTTCTAACAGTGGGGTTCGTACGTGCCTGGGAAACATGAGTTCATTTAAACGTGGGTGGATGCAAAGTGTGACTGGGAAGACAGGTTTTATGTAACTAGGTTTTACAATGCAGTCATTACGAACACCTGGTCTTTCGTCATCCAAAGTGAGTTCCAGTTTAAATTTTAGCAGGTAGACTTTGGAGTAGCCATGAGGAAGAATCTTGGTAACAATGGGCAAGTTTTAAAACACATTATTATTATATCAAGAGAACGATGTGGAGACCTAAGAACAAATTCGTCAGGAGTGTCACACCTCAATAAAGCAGCAAATTTTCCCCAAACAAGTCAGGGCATATGGTCAGTCAGTATGAAGACCGTAAATCAGAATTGCCTTAGAAAGCAGGACTTACATGTTGTCATATCCCTAAAGGCAAGAAGATGACTCTTTAGAATAGACCTCTTCTAGTGAGATCCCGGGTCCTCACGACTCTGCCTGCCCTAAAATTCCATCTGCCCTGACTGGAGCTGGTCCTGGATGTCCTCTTGGTTTAAATACTCTGGGGGACGTCGATGTGGTTTGTAATACCGTCCCTGGCCTCAGTGCTGATGGGGCTGCAGTTTGGTAGTGGGGACGCCTCTGGGTCTGAGGTTTGGGTTTCGTGAGCTCTGTCCGGAACAAGAGTGGCCAAACTCCCTGACACACCAGAGCATGCTCTTCCTGAACATTCTTGTCAGCCAACGACTCTACCGACGGTGTGTGACTGCGAAGGTTAGCAGAGTGTGAGAAACCTATGATTTTCATTGACTGGTTCTTATAAGAACCCATGCAAGTGCTTTCGCTTTTTGCTTGGTGTGGGGGGTTGTGTGGAGGGAGAAGTCAGAGGTCCCTGGTTCTTTTATTCCTGTC